CAGTTAAAATATACCAACAAATTTGTTTTAACTGCAAGAAATTTTAAGCCAAATACATGACCTTTCCGATTATAAGGTTAATAAACAACGCCATTTCGTATTCACACCAACACCGCTGGAAAAAACGAAGCCCGCGCTTCCGGGAGCAAAATGCATAGCAACCAACCACCGTGGACTGTAAAGGTCTCATAATTAACATTCCTTACTGGATCTACTGTGCGTTTCAATTCAGCTTCACATTCCGTTTGAACAGTGTCATTTATCGAATTTTCATCCTGTGGTTCTGACAGCACTGTCAGACTTACATCACCTGACAAAACTGCGCCTTCGAGAATTTGCCTAGAAAATGCACAATAAATTACATATCTCTATTACATATGAAATTAGTGACATATTAAACAAATATTCACTGAATGCGCAATCGAAAAAACACTTTAAAATTATTGACGCAATTTGACTTTCTAATTGTTACACGAATTGTTGACGCATTTCGTGTTTATTTACACAATACTAGCGATTACTTCAGCGTTATATGAAAAGGTTTTCGCCAGAATGTTTGACTGGGAAAAGTGTTTCTTATTTGTTAATCTTTATAAAGGCAAGATAAGGGATATTCAATTTTAAAAATATTGAAATAGGCTTTTGTGTATTCCGGGTCAATTAAACTTTACTCGCTGTCAAATAATTGATCCTAGGCAACCGACATTTCACGCAAAACGTTTGAAGCATTCACACGCACGTTACCATTAAATTGGGCAATATTTTAACATGTAAGCGAACAATACCAAGCGTTTTTTACCATAAATACTAGAATATCAATACATATTCCCACGAATATAACATGTTTAGTATCAGCATGACAATTAAACGCGATTAAATAAACAACAATATATGAAATTAATCTGATATATTTATCAAACAATATATAGCAATATACCCAGCTTCGTTTGTAGAAAGTCCTGTAAGGGAATTACCATTAACCTTCACAATACGGTCGCCAATTTTTAATCTTCCGTCCACAGAAGCAACAGAGTTTTTGTGGATATCCGCGACTCGGATGAACGATTTGTCATTCGAAACTCGTGTGGGTTCAAACGCTTCCAGCTGTACACCTAGTACTTTGCTTTCTGATAGGCCAGTGAACTCTATCACCTTATTAAACATGATGCCCCTGCCCTGCTCTTCATTTCCGCCAATTTGTAAACTAACACCAAAATCATCTCGCGTTTTGCTGCCATCTTGCATGACACCGACAATGAAACATGCCTTTTCCTCTGCCAAAAGAGGTCTTATTTCATTCTGGCACGGTTCGTTTACAAGAAAGTCATGTTTGTTGCCGACCAAAGACTGTACGGCCATGTCAAGCCATGTTCCTTCTGTGTGTTAGTGTTAGTACTCAAAAGTCAGAATAAATCAATTTTGAACGCTGGTTGTTCAGACATTCTGATATCAGCTCGTCTGATATACGATACACCCCTCAGCACTCTGCTCAAGCATGCAAACGCTTATATTGCACTGCAGTTTATATTATGGCCAAAAGTAGTTGAAATATCCACCGTAGTTGAAGTGGGTTTCATCTATTGCACTCCATTACCAGAAATTAAAAGTAAAAAGTTCAAAAAATCACAACACAATCTTCCATCGCAAGGACGCCATGGTTGCGAAGGAAGTTCGCGACGGTCGCGCGGGACTTGAATGATCTGAGCGCAATATATACTGCGCAAAATAACAAACGCAAAATATTCCATTCTTGCAAAAAATATATACTCAAATATTATTTGCTACTTTTTCTTTTCTGTATCATTAATAATAAAAATTTTGTATTGGCATGCTTTTCCAGGGCGTCGACCTACGACCTACGCTAAATTTAAAAAATTACCGGAATGAATTAACACATTCGCCAAGCCCAAGGGTCTGAAATGCAATTTGTCACGTAATAATTTTGCGAACAATATACGGGGCTCCGGCTTTACTAGTAATTTTAGCCACTCGGTAATAGATTACCATACAACAATTTTGGAAGTGCAAACAAATAGATTACCATACAATAATTTTGGAAGTATACAACAAATTTCCTGAGTGACAAACTCGGTCTCCATAGATCATCAGGCGTTTGTTTATTACTACTTTTCAGTCTTTTCTAGTTTACAGAAACATGGAATATACAGGGTGTATCAAAAAAAGGAGACCTTTAGAAATCAACCGTATTGTTAAAATTTGAATGTCTTTTCAATTGTACATATGCTGAACCGTAGTGCGTGAAATATTGATGGTGCAGCCTAGTCCCAGCCGTTCTGAAGCAAGCGCGAGAAAAAACTTAAAAAAACCCAAAATCATTGAAATAACGTATTGTTCGAATTTCAATGCCGTAACACAAAGGATTTTGACAGGGTGATTAATTTGTTTTAAAAAATTAAAATATCTTTGTAAAGTGAACGTTTGTTTGCTCATGGAAATTTAAAAATGCTTCGTAAATTGTAATATGCGTAATATGCATTCGTGGGTTTAGTACTTTATGCCTGACATAACAAGTTTACGCTGAGTATTACCATTCATTATAGCAGTTATGTCAATCTTTTATGCACTCGTGGGATTAACTTAGTGCTAGGGCATTGAATATCGAACAATACGTCCGGCAATTTCAATGATTTTGGGTTTTTTTGAGACACCCTGTATATTAGAAAATAAAAGGAGACCTTTAGAATTTGAAATAACGTTTAAACAAAAGTTTGTCTGTGTGCTCCAGGATTCAAATTATAACAATGGTTGATTTCTAAAGGTCTCCTTTTTCTAATATATGCACTCCATCAATATTTCACGCACCACGGTTCAGCATATGTGCAATTGAAATGGCATTC